AAAAAAAACACTAGTATCTCACCAACTGGTTTCAACTGATCTCATTTGGCTGGAAAGATTTAGAAATCTTTCTTCATTGGAAGGATACAAGTGGCGACAAATACTCAGGCAAAGCATGAAGCCATGAGCTACCCAGTCCAAAATGCCGTGAAAAGTTTATGCCCAAAACGCCAGGATAGGCTGTGCCCGCAGACGCCATTCACATTTTACTTAGTTGTTCCACTGATGGAAGGTATGGAAATACATGTTATCGACACAATTATTACGATCACTATGGCATGGGAGAGCTCAGTGGTGTATGCTGGAGAGATGAACATATATATAAGCAGTAGGAAAAGTGAACTCTTCAGCAAGACGTCGTAGTACCAGACGCAAAATTTCGAGCAGCTAGTACGACGTGAACCTGTCAACTAGTGGCCATAATTGCTCAAAATTTTTACGTAATATTTGGAATCATTGTTTTATTCGCCTCAGTAAACGGATTGTTTTTTTAACAGGGCCATTCAGAATGCAAGGTGGTTGTGTTCAACTGGACCTCTACCAAGAACGAAGCCCAAAGGCGGCTGGCGCGTGACTGACAGTTCAGCTCAAAGAACAGGGCCGATGAAGCAGATGAAATCCGAGGAATAATTTCCGTCAAAAATGCATACTTATCAAGCTGAGAATCAATAGTTAAAGGTCAAAGTATTTTGTCAGAAATACCAAGGTACGTGAGAGTCACGTGGGGCTGGGACGTTACAGTCCGGCCATGTGAGCCCCAGCAGATGCACAAACCACTGATGAGGATATACAAGTAAGCCATTGTCATCGACAGTGTCTCAGTGGTGGCTTTTGAAGACATTGAGCGTGCTGTTTAAATGTTGTTGACATTGTGAGAGGATTTGGAGATTTTCAATTGACATTTGATCCTTTAAGTGAAGCCAATCTACGCTAAAATGCTGAGAAACATCACAGCTTTTTCATCCTTTTTGGGAATCATCAGCAGTACATGTCTTACTGGGACAGTGAGAGTGAGGAGGGTGGAGTGGGCACATTCACATTTCTTAGGATCGGTTGGTGGACTCCCACAGTGATTGCAAGGTAAACCAGCACAGCATTATTCTCCACTTGAAGTTTGTTCAGTATTTCAATAAAAATGCAGAACAGTTGTCTACATCTCGAAGGATTGTAAGGGTTGTCAAAGGGCCTTATGTGGTACTCTGACATGAGACTACGTACCATACTGTAGAATTAAGGGTGAAAGTTTGGCGCTTTGGATTTGCCGCTATTCCTCATCACCCATTGGCGAAAGCAAAACACTGCCGTTATTCTGTATTAATTAATCATTCTTTATACCTGGATAGACATGATAATTACCTCAACGTAGCATGGCAAAAAATGCGCAGCTACGTTGTCTGTCTAAGAAGGCACATAAAAGCGTGCTAAGTTACCGTCTATAATGTTTTGTAGTCAAAATTAGGGTAATTACGCATCTGCTTGTACCATCGCCAGATAGTGCGGATGACTCGATGTCTTTTAAGTCTGAAGCACGCGTCCGTCAAAGCTGTGGTCCGCGCATGGACGTGAGTTGTCACACAAAAGCTGCTTTCCTGAAAGTTCCATGATCAGTTAAACCTCTTACAATCGGACAGAAATCCGGACTAGCTTATGACACCTGACTCTCGGGGTTGACGTTATCTTGGGCAGCCAAAGTAAGCGTAGGTAGCGGGCACATAGACAGTGCTGACGACAGAACGCATGATGCAGAGGATTGGCCACGACCCCCATTGAGGATAGCACTACCACTATGTTACCAGTACTGCCTATCGAATGATAGAAACGCCAAACAATTAAATGACAGGCAAGAACCGGTAGAAGGATTTACGGTGGAATTGGCATACGTTTATAAGCTGTTAACTTCGGCCAATCGTGCCATACTTGCTGGCAGGCTGTACTCTCTTTTTTTTAAACCAAAACATCATTTCCAACGAATTTCGTGCCTTTTCCTCGTTGAGGGTTCTCTGTTAAAAGCAATTGCCATACGGCGTCCTCAGCTCGCAGTCCAACGATATGGTAGATCGTGGCAGTAAGACAGTAGGCAACTGCCTTGAAACCAAAACCCACTTAACCTACAGCAAGGTAGTCTGTCCACTCTCCTAAAACTATTGGTACAAATAACTACACAAATAACTACAAAATAACTACACAAAATCTCTATACTATTCTTGAGCCAAGTAACATGTTGTCACCATTTCCATTATTCTAATTTTGCCGCATGAAACGGTATTCCTATTCGCGGTAGATGCCTAGGTGTACGGAGTGTATGTTCTGGCCCTCGTAGTTCGTGGTGTCCGATACGGTCCTGTGAAATCACGCTTTTTCTGACCATTCGATGGCGATTTAATTGGTGCTTGCTGATGTGTCCTTTGTTCGTCAGTAACTTAAGTAGCTTCACCCCTGCCTGCAGAGACCATGTTTGGCTACCACCTAAGGCAGTGAAATGCGAACATCAGAACGGTAACCCGTCAGTCTACTGTTTACCTACCAAATTTGGCGTAAACTGGTGGGTGCGGCGCTAGATTTCAAGAACATGCATCTTATCTAACAAACGGATACCGTAAAGACAAGATAAAACGATACATTTTGCGTCTCCTGCGTCTAAATGTAACCCTGTTGTTCTCTTTTAGGCCTTCTCTATCAAAAGCCACGAGTCTCTGTATTAACCATGGATGTTGAAGCTGTTATCCTGATATGTTCCATAAGGAACCGGATTTGAATTAAGTCAGCACTGAGGGCGTTTATCGCATACTGGTTTGTTTAATTTGAGCAAAAAAGAAGTGTGATTTATCGTAAAATAATATCTTCTATATAAAAGGATGGGGTTATCAGGTGGGACATAGCAAGGCTGGGGACGACTACCAAATTACAAAAGTTCACAGCTTATTCTTGTGACAAGGGTCAAAAATTAAATTCTCGTTTGCTCCGTATGGTGAAGTGCGTAGAAGGCCCCTTTGGCTTGCAGGAGAGCTGCGGGTGCCCCAGCCTCAATTTTACGTCCATTCTCCATAACGACAATTTTGTCGACATTTTCCACGGTTGTCAACCGATGAGCTACTACAATGGATGTGCATGTGCCCACAATTCCGTCCAGAGCCTGTTGCACGATGCGTTCACTTTCGTTGTCCAACGCTGATGTGGCTTCGTCCAATAGTAGTAAAGCCGGTTTTCGAATCAAAGCTCGAGCGATGGCAACTCGCTGCTTTTGTCCACCGGACAGCTTCCCACCCCGTGCTCCTACTTGTGTATCATAACCCTGGAAAAGTCACAAGAAAATAAGAAGTTCTTGTAAGCAAAAACACTTTGAGCACAAGGAAAAAAGGGCCCCATGTGTTTGGTAGGTTTGTAAAAGGGATAAACTGTGAAAGTGATAAAAACCTTGCGAACCACAAACAAGGAGTGATCGTTAATTAATACCGAGCTCAAGCATTATGGTGAATTGATACGGAAAAGTCAAGTGACTCATGGACGGCTCGGTTTTATGATATTGAATTCGACTGACTTATCTATGTGAGACTAGTGGCTTATTGCGGTGAGGTTTTTTTTACATACAAATCGTCGTGAGGTAAACAGAGGTATGGATTTCACTGAAAACACTGACAGTAGTACGAGGTCTATAATATGCGACCCAAATACTCATGTGACCTTGTAAGCAGTATAACGAAATGCCTAAAATAAACAACACGTGTGAAACTGAAGCCTAAATGTTGCATTTGCCACGCGCTGAATGAAGATGCAAAGGATTGTAACCATCAAGAGGTTTCGCCCAGAATGGCCCATATCGTCCTGCTAGGAGACAGAAACAGAACCATCTACTTGGACAACTTCAAAACGAATTTAAACCATGTCAGTCATGCATCAGACCGTCACTAAAGTACGAAAGCCCTACCATTCCTGTCCGTTTGTTATGTAATAGAGTTAACTTATGCGGTACTGTATCGTTTTCTTCGTAGAAATAAAATTCAGCCGATTGTGTACTCGGGTGACTGTATCTTAAAATCCCATCCATAAATACACGGACGGCTTTTATTCGTGAAGGTGGTGGAAGAAAGTTATCGATCGTTTCATGTAGTTCCCCGGAAGTGGTTCAACGTGCGGGATGCGATTTGATGACATTTTTGACACTACCTGATTTCAGGTGCAAAGAGGGAGCAAACCAGATGAAGATCGCTATCCGTGAAAAATTTCTGTGGGGTAACAGTAGGGTTAAACATCTTGCGGAATACACAAAAATCTTTAGGGTATGAATTAATTACAACATATTTTCGGCGTTTATCAGCTGTCACTCTTCAGGGTTCCTTGTATATGGTGACTGCAAACACTAGCGTCAGTGGGAACGTGTTGTGAAGTTCCAGTGATGTCCATCGATAAGTTTGGCTATCAGAAGGCGATTCTTATTTTACCACTTTTCAGACATTCGGAACTCAGATAAGACGAGAATGCAGGGCGTCATAGTTCTGGGATGATCAATTGAGCGATGAGAGACAAGAAGCTATCAAACGACACGATCAATTCTTCCTGCCTTAAATACAATATCTAGAAGCATCGTTTGGTATTGGCACCATAGCCCCCAAGAAGCGGTTGAAACGATTGCACGACCTATGAGCTGAGTGAATCGGCCCAACTTGGTGAACTGACGGTGATTGCAGCAAGGAACAGCCTGGATAATAGGTGAGGATTCGAATACATCTCATCTGCCTAGACCTCAAAATTAACATCCTGGAAATATTCACACACCAGACCTAAAAACATGGCGTTTTGGTTTAGTTACAGTAATAACAGATTTGTTTCAGCGACAAGCCACTCGTAAACTTGGGCCTCCAACTGATCACAGAAACTGCACTGTCGCACACGGCTCAACGACAGTCAGGCTGAGTAATATGGCTCAACAGACGTTTCTTCATCTAGGAAAATTCGAAATCAGCGGGATATGCAGGGCTAGTCGTTTTACTAATATGCACAAGGAAATAACCAACCATGCTATGACCTTATGGGTCATTCTCACATCTCAATACAAATAACGATGTCAAGCAATGACGAATGAATATCCACTTGCTTCATTGTTGAATTATCCAGCAAAATGAAGTTAAATATTCCGTGACAATATTGCGAGACCCATCAAACGCGAGAAAATCGGGA